TTCCCGACTTGGATTCCCATCAGTGCAGTTAAAGTATATGTTCAGGTTCCAGTCGTCAGCCCCGAACGCGCCGCAGCATTCCCACTGAAGTTAGAAAAGGACCAAAGTTAAGTTAAAGAAACCTACGGGTGAGATTCAAGATTTTGTCAAGTTGCATAGCAACAATTCTTTAAATTAAAGCAGTTTGAGGACAGTTTGGGCGAAACATGAGGTATTGGGGTATAATCTAAGATGGTTCTATGCAGCATCTTCATTACCATTTCCTTGACTTACGTATTCCTGAGTGAAATCGATTAGGTTCTGCAGGTCGATGTCGTCCCTGTACGCCCGGATGTTGTTGTTTATGAACAGGTTCAGCTGGTCTTTGATCCAGTCTTTGAAGACAAAGGCCAGAATTCCCGTTGTCAGCTCCAGGAAAAAGATTATTCCCAGAAAGACAGAAAACTACAGGAGAAGAGGAGGACACAGATGATAGAGAGGTCAGGCCCGTGCAGGACATTGACCGTTTCTGTTGGTTTATGGCCCCTGTGCAGTCAAACTTACAAACTTAAGCAAAAAGGTGTTTTCTCGCAGCGCTCCAATGCATCCAGCGAAGCCCAAAATGAACATAACCCCTCCAACCACCATAAAGAGCCAGACCGGGTCCAGGCCCCCCAGGTCGGTGATGGACGAGATGTTGGACAGGACCCCCTAAAGGAGACAGAGCACATCGCCCCGCCCGGTGAGTCTGGACAAGGGTCAAAGGGGCATAAAGGAGACCAGACCTCCACCTATGACCAGCAGGTTCCAGGAACTGCATGAGCATTTTCTAAAACCAAACATGTTTAGCGTTTTACTTTTGCCCATAAGGAAGCTGGAAAGCTGGAAAACAAACCAGATGTTGAGCTATTTCCAACATTAAAGGATTAGCGCGGGTGATGAGCTGCTTCCACTAAACCAGAGGACAGCCATTTGGTCTCCGTCGACTCCACGGAGACCCAGCAGCTCTTAAGCCACCGGAGGCCGTCTATGCCCGCCTAGCCTCTGCTTCATGTGGTTCAGACCACTTACACAACTGGATTCTTACTTTTTTAATCTGAAATATAAGAGGATGTGCTTACCTTCTCACTCCATGCCCACAGTCCAATTCCAACCAAGGCCATGCCCAGCAGCTGCAAAACACCAGTCACACCAGTCACACCTGTTACTTCCAGTAACAGGTAACAATATCCTACAGAAGCTTTGTTTTAAACTTTATTTTTATCCACAATATTAGTTTAAACAGCCCAGCTACAATTATTAGGTGAGAGAAAGTTTTTTATTTAGTTTATAGCGCTGCTTATCGTGGTAATCAGCCATTGGCTGCAGTTTATATTGACTGGGTGCTTGGGACAGGACTTTTGCACCACTCATGTAATTCACATGAGCACACTGTGTCCGGCTGACCCTCACACCCGCTGCCCCCTCACACCCAGTGACCCAGCTTCTCTCTGCGGCTTTGGGCAAGCAGCCAACCCTGTGCAGAGTAGACCCTGTCCATCAGTCATCTGGCACACAGAAACCGGCTTCAGTGGGCTTCCACTGTCTCACAGCTCATGTGTGAGGAGGTCCCACTGACCACCAGAGACCCTGAAAGCTGGACCATACCGGGGTCTGGATTGTGCTCTGCGGCAGCCTGGTTTTCTCCTGACGTCAAACGTGCGTCAGGCTCTGTTCATCCACTCAAAAGGGAATGCCTGCTACACAACATGAGGGGTAGGACGACTGCCATCTGCCCCTTCTGCCCCCCGTCCTATCGCAGGACAGAGTCGGGTCCCTGACCGCTTCTCTACGGCTCTAGAGTCCCGTTTGGGAGTGACGTCACTCTCTACATTTCCACGTCACGCCGGCCGGATCCCGCAGCCCGTGGCCTCCCAGCTGACCGGCCGCGGGCTGCCCTGAGCCCGTCAGCTGGATGGAAGCCGCTGAGCTGCCTGTGCGGAAAGCCGATTAGCTCTGCGGGGCCGGGCGCAGCTGCCCCCGTCCGGACGGGGCTGCCCAACGGCCCAGATACCGGCCACAAGGAGCCCCGGACGGCCGATACTAGCAACACGGAGCCCCGGCCCCGGAGCTAACGGTCCGGTGGTCCGGCCAGAGGATGCGGAGCGGCCTCCCTCCCCACTGTACACAATAGCCCAACTGCTGTAATAAAAAAAAAAAAACACAACAAAAAAAAAACCCACTCCAAAGCCTCTTACCCAGAACAGGATGTTGAATCCGAAAATGAAGTATTTGATGCAGCAGCTGACTTCGTGGCCTTTGTAATGGTTCCCCGACATGTTGGAGCATCGTCCGCCTGCGTGTGCGTGAGGAGAAAAACACGGCCTGCTTCACGGGCTTTGTGCTGCGCGGCGGGGAGCAGGGTCATGTCACTCCGAGGCCTCAGGGCCGCGGCGGGGACATGGCGGACGGGCGCTCACCGACACCGCTTCGACGCGCAGCCCGGCCAACATTCAGGCGCCATTAAAATGTTCCAGAAGATCCGCCTCCTGTCCGCGCGAGCTGCGCCTAGATGAGGCGGTGACGCCGCTGGTGGTGCTCAACAGTGATTGGTTGGGAAACTCTGTGATGGACGAATGTGGGAACCAATCATATTAGAGAAAAGCAACTGGCACTTCCGGTATATATACATTGTTTAAAACTGTAATGCTATATCAGGACATGAAACTCTTATTTCTGAACGTTTCTACTGAAAAGTGAGCTACAATAAATGTGCAGCATAGTATAGGTTTCTAACTGAACAATTTGAGTTCCCTGTACTAATATTAAACCAGTAATTATTTTGTGCTTACTAAACGATTGTTTGTACACTGCTGTAGTTATTAACAACGTCCGCCAGAGGCCGCTATAGGGCACTTTCCTCTGGTTTAGGGTTCAGGCATGGACGCAAAACCATCCTCTCCCAAAATAAAGCATGTATTGAACATCTATCTGACGTGTTTTATCAGGCCAGTTATACAAATACAGAACCAGCGTATGGAAAACTAGTTCCCCCATGGCTGCTTCTAAAGAAATCAAGAATAAAAAGAGCAACCAGGGACTGTTAAACAAATTCACTTGAATCATCACAAGTCATTGTGTGCGTCTTTAAAGAAGTTTTTGTTGGTTTGCTGCTTTGGATGCCAAGGATACATTCACCAGTGGAAAATGTTCAGGATAGCTGTCTAACGTCCCATGAACCAAAGCCATAAACCAAAGAGGTATTTCTCAGACTCTATATGCCTTTTTTAGTTGGTTAAAGGTCAAAGTTTATAACAATGCAGTGGGCCAATACATGATCTCATTCGGCTGGTTTAGTATTATTGCTGCTTTATTGTTGTTTATTGTTTTCTCTATTTTTTTTCTTTACAGCACAACTTAGCTTAAGTTGAACAATGGTATATTGACCACAAGAGAGCTATTTGCCATCCTATCTAAGAAATTTTATCATTTGCAGGTATTATATTCACTGAATAAATCAACAATGTCACAGCATCAAGTATAACAAACTAAGTCATAGTCCAAATGGGAGCTGAATATTTGTGAAATGAGACTCACAAATATGGTGGTTTCAATTTATGAACAGATCTGAAACTAGTTCTGACATTTACTGATATCACTGACTTCATTATAGAGAGTCTGTGCCCTAGTTCATGTTTTGTCCCGTTGCGTTCCATCAGAAAGGCCCCCAAAATTCAGTAATAGTACCTGATGGGAACAGGTAAGAGTTGCAGGCCAGTCAGTCCGGTACATGTGGCCTCTCCTCTCCTGTGTTTCCATTCCCCTGCTCAAACTGATGGATGCCTCTGGATAAAATGGGATCTCCAAGGCAGCAAATTTTGCTCTGAAATCTCAGTAAACGTCTGCATTTATGCTGCGATAGAGTTTAAATTCACAGACTGACTTTTGACATTGGTTAATTAATCATTAAGTTTGAAACAAACAGCATACATTTTCACAATATGAACTAAATGCTGATTTGTCCTAATTTCTATTGTCAACAGACCATCCAGATATGAATCCAGATCAGCTTTGGATGTGGACAACATAAGTATGAAGGGGTATTTCTTAAAGCGGACTTAAACAAAACTTTTTCACAGTGATTCCCTGTTGTTGATGTTATCTCAGATGCTGATGACAGAGGTTTTTCTATAATCTGTGTCCAGTTTTAACTTGCATTTTTATTCTTTTACACTCTTTTTTCCTCAAAGACTCATGATAAAAAATGTACACGTTGACATCACTCATTAGAAATAATACCTAACGATATCTCTCTTCCTCCTTTAGGTATGGTTATGGCCCCCTGACCCTCATGAGTAAGCTAAATCCAGGTAAAACTTTGCATAAAACAAATGAGCGCACACACACACACACACACACACACACACACACACACACGCTTTCCCACAGCTGACTTCATGGTTTTAATGGTTTTCAGTGGTCATGGAAACGTTTGGTAGGTTTGTAGATGGCTGTCTGCTCTTTCCTGGATCAACTCGTGGCCATTGTGTGTTTGTTTTTTTTTGCCTTCCGCAGATGCAGTGGCTGGATTTCTTTTTTATCAACTTTTTTGTCTTCTATCCACTTCCCTTTTCCTCTCACTCACCCTCTTTCTCTTATTCTTTCAATCTTTTTATTCTTTATTTCTTTTCTTCCCTTTTATAAGGAAACAATTAGAACACAAATTTCAAACTATGATGAGACATGAAAAACAGGATCTGTGCCTTTGAGTACACAAAGAAAGAACATTTAACATTTTGCTTTCATTACAAGCCCTCAACATTCTAACTTCTTTTGAAATGTTGCAGACCTCAAACAGAATCATATCAACAACAGAAATGGAAGTGCCAGAATTAACAATGTTTTTTTTTAATCACGTAGTTTATTTTTTAGCAGCATTAGTGAACGTATGTATATCTGGAACAAGAAAATGAAAACAAATTCGATTCGATCAAATACGCTCGGCATGTCATTCAAACAGTGCAGAGGAGTTGGGGTCACAGTTAGGCCTGGAGAGGATGCTCCCTATAGAGCACCAGCAGGGGTTCGCTCAGAGAGCCCCGGTCCAGGCAGTACAGGCTCTGAGTGAGGGCCTGGTGCAGAACCAGACTGCCCCTCTCATCCGTGTAGCGCAGCTGGAAGCCCACCCCCTCCAGAGCCCCCCCGCCCACAACGTCCGACACGTCGAACACGTCGTACCCGGACGAGGGCCGCTGGTCCAGGGTCAGCTGCCGCTCCTCCAGGGGGGGGGCTCTCCCTCAGCCGGTGGTCCCGGGAGCCCACCACGCTGTGCAGGCTGACCGTCACGCTGAGCGGGCGGGGGTGGAGGGTCTTCCTGAACAGGACCAGCTCCGCGCCCAGCATGGAGGGGTCAAGGCCGCTGACGTTAAACCAGATCCATCCTGGTGGAGCGTACGGGGGACCTGCGTGATCCAGAGAATAAAATACAGAATAGGCTACGACTCAAAACCATTTGAATGGCACATTCAAACACTTTTAGTTAAGCTAGAGTGTTGACTGTTGGGGTCAATCAGTGCTAAAATATCATAGAATGTCATAGATCTGACCAGCAGTAGGGTGGTTACTTTACATATGGACATGCTCACTTTAAGACTGTACTAAGGCTAAGTATACACTTGTTAAACGAGAGGAAGAAGCACGCTTTAACCGATAACTGTGTTAAAGATATTTAATTGTTTTCAGATTCTTACCATCAACACTGCGAAAACTCTGCACCAGTAGTCCATCCGATCTTCCAAAATCCTGAGCCTCCAGGGAGTCCAGGTACTGGTAGATCCTCCTCATGTACGGATGTGGTTTGGCATGATGGCTGGCTGACACTTTATCGATATGAAGCATTTCCAGAATGGCTTTGCTGAGCCCTTTGTCCTCCTCCGCTTCTCTGCGTTGATCCATCAGCAGCAGGCCTGTGGCCGACCAAACCAGGAGGAAGAGCACCAAAAACCCCAAACCCACACCCCGGGCCATTCTGGTCTGAACTGATCCTGATCCCGGCCGGTAGGAGGAATATTTTTTACTCTTTTCGGTTCGACCACTGCCGCAGAAAGCGCCACCTTTTCTGACCGATGTGTTTGTCCGTGCACACACCCCAGGGGCTGTCAGGACTCAGTGCAGCGGTCCAGTTCTGAAGCTGAGGAATGTTCCTTCCCTTTGAGCAGCACTCTGCCGTGCAGGGAGCCGAGGCCCCGCCACTCTGCTCTGAGCAGGCCACCACTGGGCCGGGGCACCGACCGGAAACACTCCTCTGGGATTTGAGACAAACAGGACAGACTCATGGTATGTGAGAGCCATGTAGAATCCAAGCTGAGATCCAACACTTAAAAGGAAAAACAGAAATAAATCAAACACGTCACATGTCATACTGGAATAATTACAATGGTTGATCTTTTTTTTTTTAAACATAGAAACATTAATACATCCCAAATTTGAAAATAAGCTTCCAACACTTAGAAATAATCCACTCATAAGAAGGAGAATTAAAGAAAATGGACCACACCTTTATTTATGTCAATAGGACAAAGAATGGTGGACACAGCCCTTTTTGTCTGATAAAAGACAGGACGGTCTCTCCTGTTTTTGACCAGCTCTGGGGGTGTTTTGGTACGGATGACAGAAGACCTGCAGAAGAGCACTGCATGAGGTGGAGGAGAGGGGGGGGGCGTGCCCTGTATTAGTGTTCTGTGGCATTCCCAGTCAGAAATGGTGGGGTTCTCCTCATTTTGTCAGAGCATCACCTCCTTGTCCATCGTGGTTTCATACTGCCCCCCCCCCCCCCCCCCCCCCCCGGGGCCCCTTCTTTTGTATATTTTGAAAGTATTCTTTCATTTTCTAGGTTCTAGGTGTGGTGGTTGTGCTCTTAATATGGTTTCTGATGCCAGATTAATGCCTCTTGGATGTATGATGGACACCTGTCTTGCTGTTTGGATCTACCTGCAGCCCACCATCAAGCCCTGCCGCCCAAGGACCCCCCCACACATCCCCCCTGGGACTCTTGGGACGCTGACCTGGACCCTGTAAACTTGTCCCGGCTCCCTGGTACCTCCTCTCTCCCGCCAAAGTAAAAAACCCTGTTATTCCCCAATTAACCCACAGCATTTATTTTATATGGTGCTTTCCTTTTCAACCATTTTGATTCATGTGGACAATTTGTCCATGCAAACCTTTCTATTTAAAAAATTGGTTCATACCGTGACTATTGTGAGCAACTAGTGTTCATAAAGGCAGATATAGGATGTATTTTGATTAACTCTTGATCGCACAGTACCAATAAATCTAACACATGGGAACCATTCCAGTTGATTTTAGCGTAGAAGAGGCTGGACAGTAGGGATTGGACAAGTGGAATTGCCTACAGTAGCATGGACACAGACCTCCAGAAGCCCTGACTTCTACAGGGAGTGACTGGCCTTACCTGGACGCGGTCAGCATGTCACATGACTTAGGTAAAGCAATGATGTTTTTATTCTATTCTTTTGTTCAAAGAGTGTACATATGAAATGCGCTTATCTGTAAGCAAATGTTCTTATCTGTTCATTATCTGTATTACCTTAATTCATTTAACCATTGTTGCATAAGGAGCATGTCTCAGCTGCCAATGGGCCAAAAGCAGATTATTGACCGTGTGAACTTAACCTGTATGTTTGTGGACTTTGGGGGGGGGAGCTTTTGCATGCACAGTGACACACACAGACTGCACACAGAAAAGTGGCAGGAGCTTGTTTTTGGGTTTGGTTTCCTTTTAGTTCTCCCAGTGGTTTGGTTTATTCCTGTTATTTGACTTCAATCTATCTAGTTTATTATGTTTTTGTTAGACTTGACAGCTCTTGGTTTAGAGTTCCCTCAGTCTCTTTCTGTGTTCTGTTTCTTGTTTTCTTGATCTACATAAGCCTCTCTTTTCGTTCATTCATTGTTGGATCCTTGCCTCCACTCTTAACTTTCCTGTGTGTGTCCTCACTTGTTCACTAGATTTCTGTGTTTTCCCCCTCTGGTTCCCTTTTGTCCACGTTTCCTGTTCAGTTTTTTGTCATTTGTGGTCTTTTTTAGCTTTAGGATTTTTGTTTTTTTCATTTGTCCGTTTTGAGGATAGCCTAAATTCACACGGAGTTCTAGTTTCTTTGTTCCTTATTTTGGCCCTGCATGTGGATCCTACAGCCTCTTTTCGCACACATCATTACAGAAATGCTCCACTTGAGGGTTGAACCTTCTGTGGAAACCATTAGACACCATATGGAACTCCAAAGTCATGATGATACAAATGTTTATTACTGAATTGAAATAGTGTTAATTTGAAATACTAAAAAGAAGCAAAAGCAGATTAGAACAATTCATTTGTGGTGTTAGAAGCCTGTTACACACATGTGCAAAATCAATGAAGAATCTTACCGTGCACATGTCAGGCCGGTCTGGATCCAGATCACTGATTATCAAAAAAACAAACAGAAACTAAGAGTCAGGTAGAACAATACACGGAGGCTGATGGATATAGCTCAGAGGAACAAACCCCAGCAATCTGTGGACTGAGACCTTCTGGAACCAGTGGAAGGGCCCAAACACAGAGAGGACACAGAGAAATAATGTATATTCAGGGTAGCAGTGGTCAGTGAGGGAGGAAGTAAAGTGGCCCGAAAAACAAAAGGATGCGAGTGCACAAAATAAAACAAATCAGAAAAAACTGAAATGTAAAATCAAAACATTACTTAAACTAATCCAAAAATCCAGACTTTGACAACCCCTACAGAGATTGTAATTTTTTTCAAAACAGGTTTTCTATGTAGAGCAACAAATATTTTTTTATCAAGCTGTTTTTGAGAGTGAAATTAGAAATAGAGTAACATGTCCAGGTGGAAAGGAGGAATTCTATTGCCAAAAAACAGTTTAATCTCAAATGTGTCACATTCAAATAGAATTCCATTTGATCCACTTCCTGTTCTGTCAGATGAAGACTAGCTGCTGCAGGGGGGGGGGGGGCATTCTGCAGAGAAAGCAGACCCCGTTCAAAGCCCCCTGTAGAATGGAATGTATTTATTTGTTTTAGCTTCAGGCCCTTAAAACAATATACAGTAAATTCAGATTGAAACGAAGGATGTTTTTCTCTGAGATCCCTGTATAGGGAGTATTGAGGGGACATTGCAAGGTCCTAAAACACCAAACAAAGCAGAATCCAATGATTTATTTTCAACTGGATTTGTCTTTCAGGACTTGTTACAGCAGTTTGGTACACAGACCAAGGCTGTTTCTATATCAGACTAAATAAATTAGTTAATAAATCAGAAATAAATTAGACTAAATTAAATAAACGCAAACTAGACTGAAATTTCACCTGAATGCTGTTGTCTTCTAGGTGTATATATAAAAGCTGATTCTAATTTCTCCAAGATTTGGGCAAGAAAGGGAAGGTTAGAATTAATATCATTATTAATGTTTTTCAGATCTGTTATTTTGACCAATGGCACAATCTGAAAAGGGAAGCTCCATGTCAAATGCCTTTTTAAATAAAAAACTCTTATATCATAAACAGAAAGATGACCAACAAGCCTTTGGTCAGCACTCACATCCTGAAGTAAAAGCTCTTCTACCTCTTCAAAACAATGTCATTTGGGTTTGTTGTTTATCTTCCCTGATGCCTGATGGTGTCCACCTGCCCCCCCCCCCCAAGTATTCTTCTAGTCTGCGTCTCCCTTTTTCCTGTTCCAGTGTGTTCATTTTCGTACAATTATCGGTGCGTTCACCCTAGCCTAGCATTTCCAAAGTCTTGATGGTTTAAGTCATTTGTGTGGCATACATAGGCATCTGGACGTAAAGTCCAAAACGTCACGTCCAGCTGCCTAAATTAAGTTTCCAAGCTTGACCATGACCTGGAAGACTGAGAATCTACACAGATCTGTCATTTTTGTGACAAAAACAATGTTTCTCTCTTTCTCTGGATTTGTTTGCACTTGTATCTTAATTGATCAGCTAACAGAGATCATGACTACAAACCACCCTTAAAATAGATAAATACTTGATTATAAACTAAGATAATCAGAAGAAAAAAGAACGAAAAAGGTATGATTCACATAGAATGAGTCCAAATAGTAGTTTTTTCACTTGCTGGGTTCTCAAAAGCATCTCAAAAGCTTTTCATATCAAAAACTCTAGTGAGTTTGATTCCATTGGTAGAAACTTCTGCTATTCGTTGGCTGTAACTTTGGTAAACCTTTTTGAAACCAGCCCCCCCCCCCCCTTCTGTCATTCCACTGTCAACAAAGGCCACTACAGCCAACACAACCTGTATTGAGGAGAAAAAGCTTAAAACATTCAGTGGTTGAGGCAAACGATCGGAAAAGCTAAAGGTAAATCTAAAAGGCTTTCATTTTAGATGTTACAGGACAGTAGGATCTGATCAGAGCAGAGCAGACTGGAAACACAGAGAATAGCTCCACCATCACAGAGTGGTACTTAAAACTGAGAAACTAGTTTTGTGTGGCTGTGATGTCATGTTGTAGCTGGGAAAAGCAAAGTGTAGTTAACAAAGGTGAGGAGCCTTTCTTCTCTGGTGGATTGCACATTTGTGTGAAGGCATTTCAGCTTGTTTTATTTAGCACAATGTGTCAATACACCGCCCATAATGTGACAGCTTACCTGCTCATGTGCACTCCAACTGTCACTGTACGGAACAAAAGACATGGAAAAATACAAGACATTGTGCCTGAAACTAGTTTTCTCCCAAATAATGTATTGACCACCTGACATATAGAGGAGCGGGAGTCCTAAACCTAACAAAGCAGGTTTGCTTTTTTAGTTGTGTGAGCAGTAAGAAAACCAAAAAATGGTCACTGATGTTTAATTGAATAGACACTGAAAGGCAAGGCAAGTTTATTTGTGTAGCACATTTTGTGTACAAGACAATTCAAAGTGCTTCACAAAGAATTTAAAAGCAGAAAAACAAAGAAAGAAAAAGAATCAACAAAATTAATTAGATAAATAAAAAGTGAATGGTGCAGATAAAATACATTTAATTTCCATCTGCACAGTCAAACAGAAGCGATTTCAGCCTGGATTTAAACATTGTCAGAGTTGGGTTCTGTCTCACGTCTTCAGGAAAACTGATCCAGATTTTAGGAGCATGGAACTGAAAAGAAGCTTCACCTTGTTTAGTTCTGACTCTGG